ATTTCGTTTCGACCTGGATTCTTTTCTCTGTGAGATGGAATAATTTAGAAAGTTGCGTGGCGCTGCGGAGAGCCCCCAGCAGCAGTAGTGCATGGATCACGCGTAAAATTCATCCAGCCAGAGGGAACCATCACCAACTGTTCACAGCGCGCCGGTCCCAACACAACCCATTGTAGGTATCGGAGAGGGAATAGGGGCGTTGGGGGCCCAGGCTGGATTTTCACATATTCGGGACACACTGAATGAATGTGTTATGCAGATTGATTGTTAATGCTGATGCATCAATGTTTTATTGTTGTAGCTGCACAAGGTGGAGCCTTAACTACTTTATTGGGCAGGACAGTCTCTAGCAAACCAAAAGACAATTCTGGCTAGAATCTCCTAAATACCTTATTTTCCTAAAACAGGTAAAGAAACTTAGTGTTTGTGCACTAAAGAGCATTTCAACCAGTGATTCATTCAGATGAACCTGTATAAAAAACTGACTGTATGTTGAAACAAGAAGTATATTCTTATTCTTATTCTAAGAACTTGTAAGTTCAGAAAATTGAAAAAACAGGCTGCGGTATTCTTAATGCTCAATTATAGACTTTATATGATGGATGGAACAAATGCATCATAATCGTAAAGGTAATCATATGTTTTGTATGTTAAATCTTAATCTGTAAAGTGACTGTCACATAAATGTAGTGGAGTAAAAAGTACATAAGTCCCACTGAAATGTGAAGTAGAAATATAAAGTAGCAGAAAAGTAAAAAGTAAAGTAAAACTACAGTACATGTATTAAGTTACTTTCCACCACTGCTGGACACACTTATATGAAAAGGTCAGATGGCATCAGCGTAGGTGTGTATTCAGTTATAAGGCCTTGTTATCTAAGTTGCTGGGATATTAAATATCTATAGTTGAGTTCAAAGCCAACAACCAGGGCAAGATGCAGTTTCCAAGCTAAAATAATCCTTTTTATTCTCATCCAGCTAATTTGGTTCTTTGAAAGCAGTTTGAGGATGGATCCTGGATGTGGTTATCTTGAATAACAGTGTGCTCTTATTTTGAAATAAAGGCATAATGAAAATGAAACTAAAATCTCTTAAAAAGCAGCTTTAAGTGCATTAACAATTTTCCGCTAAGTGAGTTCTGAGTAGGATCACTGTCTTTTTTTGTTTTTCAGCCATTTATTTGTAGCCATCCTCATGCTTTGTTTACGCTGCACACTGTAGTTCAGTTAACTTTACTATGCTAGTATTGCTTGAAAATGAAAAAAAGAAAGGCTTCTATTTAAGTATTCTTTGATTTTTATAAAACCAACACAGGATGCATTATGTTAGAAATTAGCCATTTTTGCTGCAGGTAAACATGTCAATATTTCAAGGCCAAGTTCAAGAATAGTGGTTTTCTCAACAGGCTCCCCCTCTGGATTGAAATAAATAAGACTACATGATGAAATGATTCATCAGTTTCCTGGAAACAGCTGATCTAACAGTTCAGTCAGAAGGCATATGTCATGTTTTTGCCCTGACTGAAAAAGAATTTCATCCTGGGAGAAATTACTCACCAAAAGGCCAGAAGGTTCATCCAACTCTTAATACAACAGCTCCATCTTCAGGCGGTGTCTCTGCAGAACAAGTTCACCTGCATCAATGCAATGCACGAATTCAAACTACTTCTGTGCTCCCTCAGATTAAGACTTCACTACCAGAGAATAATGAATATCAGATGGAAGTGTACATGTGTCTTTATTATTAACAATTTGAAAAAGAATCCAAAGAGTTGTTAAACAACATCCTGCAAGCGAAGAGGGAGAAATGATCAGAAAACTTAAGTCACTGGTGGAAAAATAAGTAGAATTTTGAGGTACTTGTACTTAAGGTAACTTGAACATTTCCATTTTACACTACTTTATACTTCTACTAGTACAATTCAGAGGCACATATTTTGTTTACTCCACTACATTTATCTGACAGTTACAGTTACTTTATAAATTTACATTTTGCATATAAAACAATGTTGGTTTTATAAAATACGTTGATTAAACCGGTGGTTTAATTATTTTTTTTTATATATAAGCAGTATGTAAGAGTTGTTTTCAGTCAGAAAAAATAACACACATTTTAATAGCAGATGTTTGTTTTTCATTTTTTCTTCTCATTAATTCTCTCACCACACCACCCCTCGTTTCAACAGTGCATAGGCTGAAAATTTCTTTATTTATGTAAAGGAAAAAATATAATTCTTCTCTGCTGCTAGCTAACAAGGTTTAAGGTTGTCAACATTACCTTAAAATTACTTAGAATAACTAACAACACTTCAATAAGCATAACCTTGTAGCTCATTAGCTGCTATCACAACTTACTTTGTTTTGAGATTTTTTGAGACCTCCTCCTCCTTTTCCCTTCTGGCTCCTTCATTATGATCACCTGTGCATAGCTGCTTCTTCTTCTCCTTTCCTTTTTATAGCAGATTGCTACCATTGCTTTTTAGGAACATTAGTTGCTACTTTCATGTTTTTGTTGGGGGAGACAAATGCACGTGTTCTGAATATTGGGGGGGTTGACGCAGGGAACATATTATAAAATTTTTGCCTATGCCAGTCAGATTTATCTGGTGCTAAATTCTACCCTGACCTTTCTTGAGTGGAAGTTGAGAGCAGCTGTTTTAGCCATTTTTTGTATTTCCTGTGTGACTGTTCATCGCCACATGATGGAGCCAAAGTAGGGTGTTGAGTTGCAGACTTGTTAGACTGTTTTCTGCTGCAATACAAGACTGAGATATGCCATTCTGTTGAAGGAAAATTGTCTCTGTGACTGATATATTCTTATATCTAACATTATTAGACATTACATTAATATGTAAGCAGCATTTCACTTGCGCTGCTCGACTTGGAGCTAGTGTTAAATACTGCTGTAATAGATAGTTCAGGGGTCTTATGATTATTAGGGACGTTTGGGACAACAATAAAATGAAAACAAAGTTCTGCTACACAAATTAATATTCTTATAGGATCTCACAAAAGTGACATGTTCACCTTGGGGTGTACTCACTTTTGTTGCCAGCGGTTTAGACATTAACGGCTGTGTGATGTGTTACTTTGAGGGGACAGCAAATTTACACTGCTATACAAGCTGTACACTCACTACTTTACATTGAAGCAAAGTGTAATTTCTTCAGTAATGTCACATAAAAATATATAATTAAATATTTACAAAAATGTGAGAGGTGTACTCACTTTTGAGATACTGTATTTAGATAAAACCAACTCCCTCTTTATCAAATCCTGCACCAACATTTACTGTCTGATTTCAGACACAACCCAGAATACCTGAAACTTGACAATGTGACCCAGAAGACATTTCTGTGCCCTCTATCTTTTGTCATTACTGCCATTAGCTTTTAAACCTCTTCCTCCCTGCATCTCCCCTTTTCTCTGTCTTCCTCTTTCCTTTTTCTCTTAATAGAGCATCAGATTCCTCGCGTGAGAACTTCATATCGGGTCCGGTTGATTGTGATATTGGGTTACTTACTTACTTTGCTCATTCAGACCCACCAGCAAGCCTTTTCTTCTGGGAAAGCTCGGATTTCAGAGCAGCACTTAGACAAGCGCAAAAACAAAACGTTTGCATATTTTGCGTAAGTAAAATAATGGTTTAGCATTGCATTAGGTGATTGGTCACTTAGACAGTACTCTCTAAGCACAACACAAATGGTAATCTGAGGACTTGAGATGAAACAGGATGGATTAACCTGTTAATGTTTGTTCAATGACTACATGTCATAAGAAAATACAACAAATTAATCAAAAGGAAAAGCAGCAAATCTTCACATTTGTGAAATTGGAACTATTAAATGTTTTTACATGGAAAATGACTTCTTTCTAACGTAGTCGTACTTGTAAATAGGATATATCCATCCATCCATCCATCCATCGTCAACCGCTTATCCTGCGTACAGGGTCGCGGGGGGCTGGAGCCAATCCCAGCTGACATTGGGCGAAAGGCGGGGTACACCCTGGACAGGTCGCCAGTCCATCGCAGGGCCACACATAGACAACCACTCACACTCACATCTGAGGACAATTTAGGGTCACAGTGGGAGGAAGCCGGAGCACCCGGAGAGAACTCCACACAGAAAGACAACTGGTGTTTGAACCTGCAACCTTCTTGCTGTGAGGCCACGCTGGGTATATATTGATAAATATATATATATATAGTTAAAAAATATGATGTTTTGTTAAATAATATATTGGGTATATATTGATAAATATATACCCAATATATTATTTAACAAAACATCATATTTTTTAACTCTTCATATGATAAGTGTGTAAAAATCTTTGTAAAGTATCTACTTACTGAATCTGTCAGATAAATGTATTTAAATAAAAAGTACAATATTTCCCTCTGAAACGTAGAGTAGAAGTAGAGAGTGGCATGAAAAGAAAATACCTCTAATTTGTAAAGTACAGTATTTGAGTAAATGTACTTAGTTACTTTCAGTTTGTCAGAATATGTCTTCTGTTGCTCTGGAGGGAGCTAAAATGGTAGCAGCATTACATACTTAACATGGCCTGTCAGCATCCTTCATTAAAATAACTTTAGATCCAATCAAAAACACTCTCTTGCCCAGAGGAGACAGTGCAGAGACCGAGGGGAGTCTGCTGTGTAAGGCAGACCGAGGAGGGAGGCTGCTGGCGGTTACATAACGCCTTGTGGGAACACATATCTCAGAGGAGGGAGGAGGGGAGGAGGGAGGATGTGGGAGCAAGAAGACTGGAACAAAAACATTCAATATGCCATCCTGCACACAGATACTCCACAGATAACAATTCCAGTTGGCAGTGGAGCTCCACACAGAGCACACGATCACAAAGGGCTTAACCTGATACCTGCTCATGTCTGAGGTCTGAAGTTCATGTCAGCAGGTGACACACTGTCCTCACATGAACTCCTCCGGAGAGAAGACTTCATGTGAGGCATGCAGAATAATAATACATGAGGCTAACCGAAGGGGTAACAGTTCTTTAGTGGAAAAATAAATTAGACATGTCCTCAGCGGTTAGATTTTGTACATAAGGAATACAAAGCAGCTACAACATGACCTGTAATAACAGAAGCACACTTTATGAATATGACGTGACTTGACATGCTAAGTTCTTTGCTATATGTAGCTGAGATGGATAACATTATTTAAAAACAATAATATGCAGTATGTTTTTATATCTCTGACTCCCTAATTTAGATCCGTTCACACTGAGCACCAGAGCTGCCAATTCTCCCATAGCATGTTAATATGTGAAAACATTATCAGCAGCCTTAATGAATCTATTACCCACATGCACACCATTAATCTCCAGTTTGATTATTGTAGAAGATGTATCAACTAATGCATCAAATCATTTAGCATTTATAAACAGTATCAGTACATAAAGAATTAAAAACATGTTTTATTACAAACTACAATTCATTATAATGTAGTTTAAGCAGCCATAAGGAACTTTTTAAGTGTTTATTACGTACTTGTCACCAATTATTACTTCTCCTGTGAAGCCTCCAAAACTGTATATTGGTGTATAAACAGATAATGGTTGACAATATAACACAGTTACAATTGTTGACAAATACTGTACATTATTAAACACTCAAAATGTCCATTTATTCAATGCGTACATGCAACTAATAAATGTGGGGTGTGAAAAGTGAAGTGCAGTGTTGGCCACTGCAGCTGGGTGTTCAAAAGCACATGGGTGTTAGGTCCCCTGTCCCCGGGTAGAGGGGGGTGTGTGTGTGTGTGTGTGTGTGTGTGTGTGTGTGTGTGTGTTCCCTTCTTGCAGGAGTGAAGTCAGGTGTGCAGGAGCCTATTAGCAGCTGCCAGCCATCAGCCTCATTATGCTCTGCCTTTTATACCTGGTCCTTGCCTCCACTCAGCACCGGATCGTAGACTCTCGTTACCAGTCAGTCTCGTTCAAGCCGTTCATTACCTAAGACTAGTTCTTGTACCTGTTCCCTACTAAACCTGTTCTTCTGTGCCGCAGATATCCCCGCCTGGTCCATCTCCTGCAACAATTCCACTCCTGCTCACGTACGCCTGAGACTGTGGGCCCACGTCTCACGGACTTTCCCCATTCCCGGATTCCCAGCCTAGTGCATTTCATGTCTAACATAATTCAATACAAAACAAAATTATATTGTAGTTCTTTTAACACTGCCAGATAATTGGCAAATCTTATTTATCAAATGTGGAAAATCTCTCTGAGTCACATTTCTTTCCAACAAAGCTGCTTTAGTGTTGAGAAAAGATTTGTCTCTACATTTCACTCTTTAGTTTCACAGCTGAACAAAAGACAAACGTCTTCTGAGACAAAAACAATTAGATTTGATTATAGGATAGGTTCACAATGTTTGTGACCGACAAAGTATTTCTTAAAACATATATCAGGTGTCCACTGACAGAGTTTTTGCTCGCTGTAACCATAAAAGATCCCTTACTAATGCGCTTCCAGTGTAAGTGATGGGAGAGAAAATCCACAGTCCTCCTCTAATCCTGCGTGCCAGAAGTTAGGAAATTTCCAACAAGAAAAAGTAAAGTAGAACGCCACTCAAACTTGTGAACTCGGGGCAAAAATATGAATTCCAACTTCATGAGGCAGTCTGATGTCACACAACAATGGCAGCAAGCATGGAAGCACATGTTGTAAATGGTAAAACATAAACTAAAAGGTAACAGAATATACATGCCTGCATTTAATCAAGATAATAAATAATATCATATAGTAAAACCTGTTCTGCATGTAAATTGATATTGTCATCTGTTATAAGGTAGCTGGTTACAGTAAACAATCTCTGAAAGGCACAAAAGTTACTCAGGAAAACATTAAAAATATCAAGAAATGTGAAAATCTTTAAATAAATATTCAACATTTACTGACTTTTGCAGATTACCAACTCGACGGGAGCAGTTATGAGGTTCCGTTTGTGCCAAAATAAGTCGAGTTACGGCAGAAGTATGTTGAGTTGAGACAGTCGTGTGAACCATCGACATAGACAGTGTGCATGCCGACTTATCTTTGGCACAAACGGAACCCAATACTGCTCAGGGTTCAGTTGTGTGCACACTTGGAAGAAATAAATGTTAGCTTGTCACGGTGAGCCATGTTTTTCGTTCACCTTTGGCGTTATGCACCTGGAACGCTTTGAGGTTGGATGTCGGAAATTTCAACTGGGACATTTTAAAGTTCCGAGCAGTGTGCAGCGCAGCATTAGTTAAACAAATGAAGGGGACTTCCTCTAAAGTTACTTTTTGTTTATGTCCTTTCCCTGCAGCTCCAGAGGGAATCACTATCCGGAAATACAATGTTGGAAAGATACTCACTTGATTTGTCTAACTCGGAGTGATTCGAAGTGTGGTGTGCAAGATAATAGGCTACATTTTCCTCTACCTTATACCTACCTCCCCTGCATGTTTTTTGCAGGAGAGGTAGGTAGGCATGTTTTTTTAATTTTAAAGTTAATATGGGGCTCTTCAGCTGTCTTAGTTAGACAAATCTAGTGTCTTTCTTTCAACATTTTGTATAAGTAAGGTAAGGTGAGTCCCTCTTTATGTTTCTTTGCTGAGCTACAGTGGAGGAATACCAACACAAAGCGGGTGTTTTATACTAAAGACTCTCCGTATAACTCGAGATTACTGAAGCCTCATGTTTAAATCAGTTCAGCCTTTGAATAAATGTTTTGCTGTGGATTTTCTCCCCCATCATTTACATTGGAAACACGCCAGAAAGGAATCTTTTCAAAGAACCACACAGATATTAACTGGATATTAATAAGAAGAAGATCTAAAGGTTTACAGAACCGGGTGTTCACAGATTCACATTGTGATGTAGAGTAAACTGATTAAAATGGTCCTTTATTCCTCACACTCCTGGCAGGACACTTCACAACTTGCAGCACGATGTGTAAAAAGTTTTATCAGCAAAAGTCTTCAATGTAGCAAAAATGTTTTTGTTTTAAATAAGAAGGTTCATATTTCTTGGCCATACACAACATCTTGAAAATATAATTATCCAAAATGGGAAACTCTGCATCATTTCTCTGTTTGGAATAATCTCAGAAGTGCTTTGCTTATCTGTCGGTCAAATATACTCCAATCATCTATGGGCCGGTGTTTTGGGAAAGGTTGATGCTCCCAGTGGGAAGAGCAGGGAAGGCAAACGGGTCAACAACACCGTTCAGGGGAACTTCGGGAATCTGTGGAAGGAAAGTGTATTAAAGGGGGTCGTGCGTGTGTTTACTCGCACAGACTTCACTCAGTTAAAAACTTGAAATTACGTTACAAGTCGCGGTGGATATTTTACAGTTTCAGTTGTTTGATAGGCTGCGTCATTAACAAGCAAGCGGCTCACCTGCTGCCGTGATACAGTGCAAACTTAAACATAATTTTAAATAACTCAAAATAATTACAATAATAAAAAAAAGGAAAAGCAGCAAATTGTCACTTCTGCAAAGCTGGAACCATTAAGTGTAATTACATGAAAAAAGGACTAAAACCATTTTCAAAATGGTTGCCAATTACTTTTCCTTCAATTGACTAATTCATTAATCAACTAATCCTTTCAGCTGCAAAAATCTTAATTTGACAAATGCAGTGAAGTGAAATAATATTTCCCTCTGAGACATAGTAAAGTAGAAGTAGAAAGTGGTGTGAAAAGACAAGACTTCAATACAGTACATGTACCTCAAATCTGTACTCAAGTACACCAATAGAGTACATTTACTTACACACATTCCACCACTGGAGCTGTCAGAATAAATTCAAACCTGTTACAAATTAAAATCTTGTCCTTCATATCAGTGGTTTTCATTGGGTGCCTTTACGGGTGCCACAAAATAAATGATTCTATATTAAACAATTTTAATAACACTTAATAACAAGGCCAAATTTTTATATTATGTTTTCAAATGAGCATTAAAGGAAAAAGCACTGTTTAATGTGGAGTTACATAGCAGCTAAGACTATTTCTACTACTGTGTTCCAGAAAGGGAATAATCCAAACTCTTCCTTTAAGCTTGGATGTTTCAGATGACCTGAACTTTTCTAACACAGTGATAATTAAACCTGGAGTTAAGTTTCATGCACATTCAAGTCTTGGAAGCGCTCCAACTATCTGTCACTTGACATTGTGCAGAAAATGAAATGGGACAAACTCCTCTAACTTTACAACTCTATGTGTTGCTGAGAAGCTGAAGTGAAGGAGAGGCTCATCAAAACAGTGCAAGGCTCTGGCTGAGGCCTTTAATGTGTCTCTTGTACCAGTAATCCTGAAATCTGAGCCATATTTAAAGGTCCAGTGTGTAATATTTAGGAGGATCTATGCACAGAAATGCACTATAATATCCATAACTATGTTTTCAGAGGTGTATAAAGACCTTACATAATGAACCGTTGTTTTTATTACCTTAGAATCAGTCATTTCTATCTACATACATGTTGCACCGCCATGTTTCTACAGCAGTCCAAACTGACAGAGCGCGTTTCGTCACAACCTTGAATGAGTACGAAGAAGAAGGAATAAGAAGTAGTAGTCATCTGGTTAAGTAAGAAAAGAACTGAAATTTGGACAAATGGAGGCCCACACGTATTATTTAAAGTTTTATTGATCAAGTTTAAAGCACGGCCCTGTTATTTTTCTGACCTATTAGTCCCATACACACCAACACGCACCTTCTCAACTGAAAACTAAAAGTGTTTGCTGTCAGGGCCCCGAGGCTCTGGAACAGCCTGCCCGAGGAAATCAGGTCGGCTGAGTCAGTGAACTCTTTTAAGTCCCTTCTTAAAACATACTTTTATAGGAGAGCCTTTCCCGAATTTTGACATATTTTAAATTTACTTTAAATGTGTATTTTAGTCTCTTAAGTGTTTTCTTGCTTTTATGTAGGTATTTGTTTTTATGTGTTTTATGGTCTTTACACTTGTTAAAGCACTTTGTAACTTGTTTTTGAAAAGTGCTCTACAAATAAAAATTATTATCATTATTATTATTATTATTATTAATATTAAGCAAAAGAGCCGACAGAGCTTATCAGCCACCGTAGCTTGGAAAGGGAGGGGTGAGCTGTGACTGAGCCTATGGTTGCAATTCGCAACCCTCACCACTAGATGCCAATAAAACGTACACACTGAACCTTTAATTATTACATTTTCAATCATTTTATCTTGGCAAGTTATCTCTTATTTTACCTGAGTTTCACCGTTCCAACAGAAGAACGTCGACTGTAATGATCCATTTTCAGGAGGATATTCTGACCGAGCTGCTCCCAGCCCAGCGTTGTCTCCACTCAGACGAACCAAACTGATGTTGCCCACATCTTTACAGGCAGCCACGTGACCGGACGACTGCATCATGTCCTGTTTGTTGACCCCGGCTGCAGTGTCTGGACGGGACGCGGCCATTGTGGTGGTGTGATTGTGAAAACTTTGCGGCAGCTGCTGCTGTTGCCACAGTGAAGGGCTCTGAAGCTGCGGCCCCACATAAGTCTGCTGTAAACCGGGGTGGCTTAGAGTATATCGTACGCTTTGGTCTGTCACCTCAGAGCAAGATTGATGGCTGCTGTGGATATTGTTGGTGTTTTGTGCAGACAGATGCCAAGACTGTTGTGTCACATCAGGATGCGAATGAACAGCATAGCAGGACTGTGTTGAAACCATCTGGTTGCCACAGAGGCGATTGCTGCTGCTGCTGGGAGGCCACAGAAGAGAGGTGTGTCCCTGGTGAGTGTTATGAAATTGTGTGGGTGTCGGTGTGTGTGCCACCCTGTGAGAGTCACCTTGAAAAGCTTCTTTGAGTCCAGTTGAACTACCAACATCACAGAGCTCCTCCCCCAACAGAGTCTGCTCTGCAAATCCTGATTTCATGTCCGTCATTGGTTGCCACTGACCAGGATGCTGTACTTGAATGGATAATCTGTTGCCAGAAACACAAGCCCCAGTCTGATCCGAACCCTGCACATCCCCAGCACCAGTCTCTCTCCTCAGAGCCTCCTCCACATATGAGAACACGTCATTGGCCAGGATGTGATTTAGTTCCCTTGTTGTGTCTTCCCTCTCGTTATTCATCCTGATGATGGTGTTCTCCCAGTCCCTCAGCTCCTTCTCCTCAACTTCAAGACCCTCCATCCTTCCATCGCCGATATCCCCCAAAATCTGCTCCAACGACTCAATCATGGCTTTCGATGTGAGGTCCTCTGTGATAAACCTCTTCTGCGACACCTGTATCTGGCCCGGCACACTGAGCAGCGCATGGCTGTCCAGGAAGGCCTGTTCCAAGGGTTGTTCGAAATCAGAGTCCTCTGTTTGGGTGAAGATTGGGAGCTGGGGGCTGGGTTTCTGCGGCTGGGTGTAAACAGAGTGGTCTTGCCGGCGAAGGGATCCCAGGATGGAGGCTGGGTCCAAAGGTTTCTCTGTTGTGGGCTCTGTCATGCCCGGTGCACCGGAGCCAGCAAGACCAGGCATGGAGAAGGCATCCAGAGAAATATCGTACAGGACGCCCTCACCGGTGGCCAGGTTGAAGGGGAGCTGCTTTCTTCTCTGGTGCAAGTGTTCCTCTCCTTCTTCATTTCTACGGAAACATAGGGACCCACAAGCAAATGTTAATACTAACAACACAAATTCTAATGTTGCACTTTTAAATGCTTAAATCTAAAGTGTAGGTTTTAGGGGGGTCAACAAAAAAAAGTGAGGCAATTTCTTGGATTTGTACATTTATATCATTCAACGAAACAGCTAATTATAATGAAATGTATTCTCGTGCTTTCCATAATATAGTAACAACATCGTAAATTATTTACGAGCACAGTGTGCGAGTAACAACTACCATAAATGTTCAATTGTTGAACTTAATGTAATGCATTAATGGTTATGATTATTGCAAAGTTATTACTCAACATTTACAAATTAAAGACTAACCATTTTGCTTGAGACTTATTGAATATTATACTAGCGGTAAGCTATATAGTGTACTATTATTTGAAATTATAATCAATATAGCAACATTTTATAATACAAATATATACATTATACTGCAGTATTCTATTAAATTAACATTTTACTTTTTATTTTATATTAGAAAATATACTAAATGAGTATAAATGAGTATTTATACTAGATCCTCCTCCAGGTTGTGGATAGAGTTAATTCAATTCAATTCAAATTAGCTTTATTGGCATGAATGTATAAAAACAATATTGCCAAAGCATCATACAAACTACATAAGAACAATCAAGCCCATACATTTCATTAAACAAGTAATTAAAGCGTGTATGTGTGTTTGTGTGTGTGTGTTAGAAAAATTTAAATATATTAAAAATTTAAATTAAATAAATAAATAAGACAGTAAGCGTGTGTGTCAGTGTGTGTGAGTCTCTGCAGTGGACAGATGAAGATTTAGCCAGAGTCTGGATGCCTGTCTGCCAATATGTGCTCCTTCTAGCTGCCTCCTCCTCCTGAGACAAACACGCTCCCCTTTTTCTGTTTTACATCTGTTTTATTGAAGTTATTGTTTACAGTAAGTGTTTAAATTAATCACAGATGTTTTCTGTGATGGGTGGTCCTTATTTTTTAAAAGCAGTTTTCAATGTGTCAAATTTTCAATAAATCTGTTTCAATATTTTTGAAAGCTTTGAAAATTATTTTAAGCTCAGGCTTGTCCGGATACCAGGGTTTTCACTTCCATAGTCCTCCGCTGGTTTATACATCATAATTGCACACAAGGGGAAGTAGCACACACACGTAGTATAAATGTGTGTATACAATAAAATAGTTTGTTGATTAACTGTATGTTTCTGGATAATTTTCCTTTGTGTGCTCCTTAATGTTTTCATTTAGGAGCACATGTGCTTCTTGGGAAAAAGGTTTGCATAGAGCCCTGGTCAGAAACCTAAACATGCAGGGGAGGTGGGGGAGATTTTCTTCAGCCCTGAGTCGTGCCTTTAGCAACAACAACTTCCACCAATAAGGTAAGGGCAACAACAGGCAAAACGTATCTTATACCTATCTTGAATTATTTTATTACTTCTGCTATCAGGCTTCTAAATGGTGCTGACGGCGGCATCTAGACATGGGCCAGGCATTGTAAACCTGAGAACCATTGTGTATTTATTTATTATTTATTGAATTATGATCCCTGATTGGTCCATGCATGGCGACCTTTGTAATGGCTCCTTGTACTAAAATACTGTAGCTTTAGAGGAAGTCCACTTGAATTGATAAACCTTTGAATCTAGGTTTTGCTGTGGATGAATCATTACAGCAAGCAAATCCTGTTTAAATGTTCATACGGGCGCCTGTTTATTGTTTTTAGACAGACTTTAAAATTGTGAAGCTTAGGTAACAGGACAAAACAAGTGGAGCAGTAAGAAGTCAAGATAAGAAGCTGATGTTTACGTGAGGGCCTTCTGACGAGCGATGATGAAGTCCGGTCTCCCGTCCTTGAAAACTATCCTGGCGGAGGCCTGAACCCACAACCACTGTCCTGTTTTGGTCAGCAGCCTGAAGATCGTGAAGCCACTGTCTCCAGTTTTCATCACTGAGGGTGGAGCAGGTGGACACAAGGTAAGACTGACAAGTTCATATTTAACCCAAATTAAGTGTACAGGACTGAGAGGTCGAAAGTGTCTTGCAGGAGAACTCACTCCTGAGGTGGTTGTCAGCGCAGTACATCATGTCAGCAGCGTGGATAAACTGATAGCCAGAACCGTGTGTGACCAACTCCACCTCTGAATATCCTAAAACCAGCTTCCCCCTGAAAAGAAACAAACACATAAATCTGTTTCCACCTCTGTTGACTTGACACTGATGGCCTAAATATTTAGAGATTCACCAAAAAAACCAACCTGGTGTCGATGCCCAAAGGAGCAAAGTCCATTCTGTGTTTAGTCTGGAAGAAGAGGGTCTTAGTCCGGATCGCCATGACTGAAGGAGGATTCAGAGGTGTGGCGATGGCAAACAGAGCCAGCTGAGGGGGAGCCGAAGTCCCATCAGCCTCTTTGTTTCCCTGCAAATGCATGTACTTCAGACGTCCGTTGAAGTTTAAAGTCTGGAGGAGACAAAGTCCATTGTAGTTACACAAATATATCAAGTGATGCTAGCAACAGGGCAGGTCATCCGAAACTTCAGAGTGATGGATCGCCATGAAAGTTTGTAAAGACATTCATGGTCCCCAGGATGAATCCTCCTCACATTGCTGATTCCCTTTCTTCCAGCGCTTATGGTTGACTTTTCTGATTTTCAGTGACATTTTGGTGTGGGGGGGTTTCCAATGTCAGACTGAAATAGGGCTGTACATAACGATTATTTTTCAAATCGATTAATCTTACGACAAAATTTGCGTATTCTAAAGAAAATAAATCTTGCCTATTACTCGATTAACATACCAATTTATCCAAAATAAATATTAAAAACATGTCTAATCAATAAATCAATATTTTATTATTATTTATATTGATTAGCATGGCTGTAAACTCTCAGTTCAAGAAATGTGATCTTTAACGTACCAGGAATCCGGACGTGTTGTCCTGGAGGCAGCGAAGGCGACAGCAGAAGCTTCTTTCCAGGAAAGAAGAGTTTTCTGGAGGGACGTACTGAGGCACCAAGCTCACAGAGCTGCGTGACAGCCCATCTGCAGAGAAACAACAACAATCCCACACGGGTATGTTTCTACACTGTATCCCACCGTATCTGCCGTCTAGGTTAATCGGCATCTGATATTCTGAAAATAACACTTTCAAGCAGGACCTAATTTAACTGAATGTCAACAAACAAACAAAAATATATTTACTTTAATTTAGTGTCACATAAGACAAATAAAATCCTCTAAATTCACAAACTTTAATTGTCATTTTTGATTGATTGATCAGTCAAAACAGTTGCAAATAAATATTCTTATATTAGCTTATGAATTGAGAAGAGCAGAGATAGTTTAAAGAGGCAGAACCCTCTTGTTTTCTAATCTTCTAGATGAAAACCTTTTTTGCAATTACATCCCTTATTATTTTTAATCAGCCCATCAAATCCACCACATAAAGTGTAATATTTAATTAAATTAAACAAGGTACATATTTGAATCTGAGCCAGCCCATCAACCCTTCTCCTACACAAAAAAAAACACTGAAGGTTTTACTACCAAATGTTTTGCCTTCTTGTTTTAGGTGAGAACGTCCTATAAATGAGCCGTTACAGTGTGTGAGGCATGTGACCAAAGGGATGTTTACTGTATAACCAGTGATGTAATGCATGTGTGTAGTGAAAGTACATTTAGTTCAAATTCAAGGTACTTATATTACGTAATATACGGGGTAAGTAGGGCAAGTAGAAATTGCCTCGTTTATGGGGTCCTGAGCCAAATAGGTTGGGAACCAAAGATCTCGATATTAACACCTGAAAGAGACATGTATGATATTAGTGACAGGCAGGATGAATTAATACCCTGTGCTCTCATGTCTGAGTTGGTCTCGCTCGGGTTGAGTGCGAAGTGGAGCTGACATTTGAACACCTCTCTGTCGTCCATGTGAACGAGATCGTACACACTCTGGTGGACCACATCGGACTGATGACAGAAAGGAAGGGAAAGGGGTGGGGGGGGATTTAAATTAAATTACATTTTCATTAACTTTAATTAGCTTAACCTGGCATAGCATGAAGACCGAGAACAGGGGAAACACCTAGCCTGGCTTATGTTTACACGCACTACAGCTTTTGTACAGATTAAACAGTGAGATATAATGTAAAATACTGAGCTTTCGAGATGCTGGTAGGAGGATTTATTTACCTTTAGACAGAGCCAGACCAGCCAATTCCCCCCGTTTCTTGTCTTTATGCTAAGCCAAGCTAGCCAAATTTCCCCACATCTTGAACTATTTCTTTAAATAAAAAACAGAATATAAAATATAACAGAATAGCTGACTGTAGAAATAAAACAATCCAAGTAATTCAAATAATCATGGTGATATGTATGCGTTTAACCCGCTATAGGCCTGACAGTAGTGTATTAATTATTACATAATGCATTAATTATAACCAGTTGTGCTGCCAGTGAATGCTGCTACTTTTTACTTCAACTCCACTATGTTTATCTGACAGCGATATTTACTAGTTACTTTGCAGATTTAAGGCTCTGCACACCCACACAGGTGATTTTTATCACTCTGGCTGATTAGAAATCTTAAACAATAAAACGCCACTCAAAGTTTGTGCTTGTAAACACAGACTTCATGAAGTAGCAGCTGTCTGATGTCACACAACAATTGCAGCACCCATGGAAGCAGATATTGTAAAAGGCACTGTTAAGTATATTTGCCTAAATGTTATTAAATAATACATACTACCACACAGTAAAACCTGTTCTGCATGTAAATTGAAGTAAAAATATGTCGCCAATGTTATTAGGTAGACAATTACGGCAAACAAGCTCTAAAAGTCATCTTCTCTGGACAACAGTTATTCGGGAAAACAAAAAAGTTAAATATAAAACATTTACTAGCTTATGCAGATCACATGTAGCTAGACAGGAACATAGTTAACGAGTAATGTCAATTGATGTCGCTCATTTTCATTAAAATCTTTTTTATTAACACCGAGGGCTCTGATGAGAGTTCAGTTGTGGGTAGGTTTGGCAAAGAAACATCAGTTTGTCACGGTCAGCCATGTGCGTCGTGCACCTGGAACGCTTGGAGGTCGGAACGTTGCAGCTTCCACTGGGATTAGTCTGTGTTGGTGATTATAACCTTCACAAAGGGAGCATTTCCTGCAGGACTATTGTATTACACTGCATTAGCTTAAGCTAGGTGTACCTAATAAACTGGTAACTGAGTGTGTTAGTATTATGTAGTAAAAGTTTTAAAGCACCCAAAAACCCATAGTCCACTCGCACAGGTGTTTTCACTTATACTGCCTAATTAGACCTGTTCTCAGGTCAGTATAGGCATGCAGAAACTACGCTTGACTGTTATCATCATTAGTCATTAGTAAAGATGTAACACTGGCACGGTGCACGCTGCAGAAGAACAAATACTTTTACTTTTACTTTTATTATATGTACATTTTTAATACTTCTACACTTTTACTGCAAGACTTGTATATGACTGAATATTTATCCGCCTCTGAAGCATCTGAATACTTCCTCCACCTCTGGTACAAAGAAATATATTTACACTGTGTTTGGTGACACAGTTTTACCTGATGGAAGCCCAGGAAGTCCCGGATGGTCGGGGATGTGTAGAAGATTGTGCCATCGGTCGTCACAACCAACACGAAACCATTTAAAGCCTACAGAAATAACAGAAATACAAAATGACAGACATGCACACTGACAAATACACACCCGTGCACAAATGTAATCCAATGTTTTGTTGTTTTTGTTGCTGTACCTGGAGAAGAAGTTCTCCCTCTGAGAAACTGACTCCATCCAGTGACACAGGATGTCCATTTCTGCCGTTTGCAGAGAGAAGAGCAGGTGGCCTCACGTTCTTTTGGAGTACTGCTGCAATATCCAAAAGCATACAACTCAGTGAAAAAACAACTCAAAATAATGAATTTTAATGTCCTGAAGCTGCCAAAAGGGACAAAAACAGCACACCAACAAAATAATATGTAATAAAATAAAACCAAACTGGATTATTTAGAGAAAAAGGAACATTGTTTCCTAAAACGGATATTACTGAATCCTTAAATATACATTTTCAATGTTCTGAACCCCACATACAACTGTTATTCCATTTACCTTCATTGTTTAGGCAGCAGCAGAAATCTCTGTGGGAATCTCAAGATCAGGGCAAATAAAATCTCTATAGCTCAAGTGAAGTCATTTGTATGAAGCAACCTCTAAATGTGGAGCTGTGGAAGTGTTTTGCAGGTTTTTCTGGGCTTGTTGAATTTTTTACTGCACATATTTTGTTATATTCTTGATACTTTATAAAGTTAAACTGGCAGTAGTCGTTAGCTGGCATTTGTGTACTTATCAAAGCTAATATCCAATGAAGGTTAAAATCAAGGGCAACTGGACTTGGTTGAAGATACTGGATACTTTTCCAGTATCTTCAACCAAGTCCAGTTTCGTTGGATAACTATGACCTGGATGACTGAGAATCTTCATAGACATCAAAGCTAATATAATCAATATTGTGTTAATATTATTAACAGAGAAATTGACAACGTGTAAAGTGAAAGGCGTCGCTTGTAGTGACAAAGCCACAGAGAATTATGACCTGGCTGAAGTTCCCCTCAGCTCTGCGGAGCGTTTGAGGGTCTTTCAGCTTATTGTTTTGGTTTTACTGCAACTTTACTGTCTTGGTTCAGTCTTACTGTTCTCATCATTGTTGTTTCAGAGAAAAAGGCACGAGATTTCACCCAGAATGAAATGAGACTAATCAATATAAGCATGAAATATTTGCAGAAACTCAGAGAGCCAGTTTTACTTTGGTCAAACGGGATTACTTCTGTGCCTCCTCCCAGATGGCAGGAGGGAGAACATGTGATGGGATGGGTTGTGTAAGTCCTTAATGATGGAGGTAGCTCTGCAAATGCAGCGTTGCTGGTAGATCTCACTTAGGTAGGGGAGTGGTGCACCAATGATCCTGCTGGCTGTCTTCACTACACTGTTTAGTTGTTCTTTTTCAGTTTAGCTGTTCTTTTTCATGGGTTTATCAGCGCTTTTTCACTGAAAACAGTGTTGGAAAGTAACTAAGTACAGTATATATACTAATATATACTAGTATTTGGTAGTTCAACCCTTAACAATACAGTATATATGCAATATTAAATGTAACTAGTATCTGAAGTTGTACTTGAGTAAATCTGATTGCACCACAACACTCAATGTATTTCCACTCACTACTATCAGTGTCAGACCTGAACAAATGAGATTAAATTTAAAATGTAGAAAAACTGTGCTGCATTTCGGCTTCTTCCATGTATTTAATTTTTGTGCCTGGTGCCTGTATGAGGCCCCGGCCTGTTTATGACTCTGCAGAACAGATTTTCGTTGCAGTAAAAGGCAGCCGGAGGCCGAGTTAAGGACAGCTCTGACCTCGATTCAACCTCGTACACCCATCGTTATAAACAAACACAGGAAGCACACACGAACCACCAGCTCACCGGCCAGCCACGGCCCGAACAAGACAACCCTCACCCCGCCCCCACGTCCCTCTGCGGTGTCAGACTTCCTGAGCAGTTCAGACTCTGGACTCTGTTGCTACAGTGACAAGGGTTCACCATGGTAACCTTCACCCCAGGTGATCAGCAGCAGGAAGCTGCAGGAGTAACCCCTTTCCTATTTGGGGGGACTCTCTGAGCTTCCCTAAGGATATATATGTTGTAATCAGAACATCCTTTAGGACAAACTTTACATTATCTGAACTGACTTAAGGAAGATGATTATTTATTAAATACAAATATATTAAGTTTGAAAATATCAATACATAACAAACCTAGTTGGAGGAGAGTCTGATATTGCTTTGTTTATTGATATCTCGAGGTGACACATGCTGCTCACTGGTCGAACAAGAGATTTGCTTTCATCTTACACAAACTGAACTATGACAACAGGCCGTATCATCCAACAGCCCTTCCCTGTTTTTGTTCCCTTTTCTTGATGTAGCATCCAAACACACTTCCGATGAAAGTTTCGTTAAGGCTTTGTTGTGTGCAGCATTAAACGTCAGGCCCTGAACAAACATCCTCAACAATCAGAGGAAGTTGCCGTGGAAGATTAGATGGATAATTAGAAGAAATACAAAAATAAATTTTCCCACAACAGTGAAAACGCTTTCATCCTGGAAAACAGCGTTTTTAGCCAAACTAGTCAGTCCACCACTTTGGTCCAGACTGAAATATCTAAACAACTATTAAATGCATTGCCGTGACATTTTGTGCAGACTAGGGCTGGGCAATATGGAAAAAGATGTTATCAAAATTTCATATAATTTATTATCAATAATTACCAGGATAAATGTCAAATCTTTATTTCTTTTCAAGTTTAAAGGATGATTTTTGCTCCTGAGAGAAAGTTGAATAAACCAGATGGTTAATTTGGTTTTAAACTTTTTCTTTGCAGTCAGAACAAAACACTTGATGCCAAACAGTGGATCACTTAACGAATCTGAGGAAGAACATTCAGGATTTCAATTTATGAAAAAATCTTTTTGTTATTTTCTGAAACGAACCATCTGACATTTACACCCACGTCACAGGTCAGTTGTGTGAGAGTAGGTGAGAAAGGAGTCAGGGTTTTAACCACTCTCTCATGCTCACTTTTCATTCTTGATATATTTTGTTTATAATATTTGTCACTTTTCATGTGAACAACTGGGGGCATTAATGTCTTCAGAGTTCATGACAGCACTTTAATGACTCGCTCTGAGTCTTTTTTTAAATTAATAAATATCCAAATTCTCTGATTCCAGCTTTCCAAATGTGAATATTTTCTGGTTTCTTTACTCCTCTATGATGGTAAACTAAATATATACAATTTTCTCGACCTAATAACTTTTTAAAGATTTAAAGATTCATCAACAATGAAAATAATCTATAGTTGCAGCCCAATACAACGCAATACACATTCCTGCCTCCAGTTTCATTCATATTACACTGATCGTGAAGAGTACGATTAAAAATGTTTATTAAACAGCGCATCTGGCCCATTTTAAACAGTCATGCAGTTGCAAATTCATTCCATTCGTCCTTGTGTGACAGACCTGCTTGCCAATCCCAAGCGCCATGCATCAGCCGAACCGACAGTCTTCTGCCCGGCGTCAACTCACACTGGAAGTGTTTCAGCAGCGGAGCGTTTAGCCTGCTCCACCTTGTTGACATGTTGTTAATTTGCCATTTTGTGTGTTTCTACTACAGACCGGCTCGTTGTGTTCCTTTCTTTTTACGGCTACATATCCTGCATGGAGCATTTCAGACTGACTTGTTTAAATGTTTTTGATTTTTTCAGTTGTCCTTTGGTCATGGTTAAGTACGCAACCTGGTAAATTGTTTATTTTTTTGTCTGTTTTAACTGTGTTTATTGTTGACTGGGAGTCTGCGCAGGGGTTTTAATTTGGTTTTTTTGGGTTTTTTATTTTATAATTCCTGCCAATCGTGTCTCATGTTGTAACGCTCCATGATATTTTTTATTTAGTACACAGTGAAATATATATATATATATATATTTAGCTAAACTTAAAAAAAAAAGAAAAGCTAATCGAAACGTAATCACAATATTTGGTCCCAAATCGTTCAGCCCTAGTTTCCAGGTTTGTGAGAAAGCATTTTCCAGTTAATCTAATGTTGTTGTTTTTCATGTTTAATTTAAGTAAAGAAGAAGGAGAGGTTTGTCAGCTCATAAAGGAACATTTCAAATCACCAAATTTGGAGATTTTCTTCGGACTGTGAATATGTCGTATGAGGAAGGAAATGCATTCAACATGTTTGTTATGATAAAGATACACACAGTGTGTTTCGGTGTAACACACTGAATGTAAACAGAAACTTTTCTTGTTTACATGAAAACTCCACAGGGCACCTTTAAGGTTTACAGCAGCAGTGAGGGATTCCATACTTCTTTTCCCCTGGGTTTCGCCTCTCAGGCTGCCTGCTCTAGCTTACTGCTGGAGGCTGTTGGGGCTGTATGCAATCTCACTACTCGGGGCTTAAAAAAGTCCTGCCAAAACCCTTTAATCTACATTTTTATTTATAGTTAATATTCAACAGAAATAAACAAAAAATGTAATAAAGATGGAAATACAACATATTTTCTCATGAGGTATCTGGTCTCATCAAGGAAACTAATCACGTTTGTTATCAGGAAATGGCATTCACTTGTCGTTTTGTTTGTTTTGCTTTGGTTGGTGGCCTCTGACTTTACATGTAGGGATTTACTGTGAAAAACAGCAGCTGTTGTGTCAATCCACAAATAATTACATGAGCTTTTCCTGTGCGTTTCATGCTTAAACATCCTTTTTTGTTGTTGTTGTTGTTGCCTGGTTCCTGGGTGAAAGTGCTTATGGACGACAGCTTGTGTGTGGTGTCAGGCTGGACGAACATGAAAGTTGGGAGGAGATGAAATGCAGCATCAAAATGGACTTCAGGCAGCTTCAACACAGACTTAGTCTTCTTATACTGCATCTCTCATCTCACTCCTTCGGTTTCCCTTTTCCTTATTTTTATGTGAACCTTGTGGTAAGTCAAACATGTATTATTTAAACATCTTCATATGTAGAATGACGTCTCGGTCCGGTAGTATGGTGGGTTTTACAATAAATAAACACTCAGGTAATGTGACGCAGAGCCAGAGAGGCACAAAGAGAGAGAGAGGTTGCATTATGGAAAATGTAGGATCCAGTGTTTTTAGACCCTGAGCCGCAGTAAGGACTGAAAATCAGGATATCTCGGCCTCTGCTGCTTCGATTTTGACTGTCTTTTTAAAAATCTGGCTCTTTTGAGTCTTCCAACTTTATGGAAGTCCAATACTGTGTTTATATCATGATATTAAAGTTGTGATGCAACTCGAATTCAAAAGGACAGAATGAGCTTGTGCAGCATGGCAAAACTTCATGGATAAGGCCAGTGTATTGTCTTATATATCAAAATATAACCATATGAGTAGACCAACACAAATAATGTGAGATTTTTCTCAATACTTTCTGACTTCCTGAGTGTGACTATCAGCTCCAAGCCAATTGGTGTCAATATTTGACTTAAAATGGTATTTTGACAAACATTTTGACTTATACAAAACAAATATTGTACCGAAAATTACAGTAGGCCATTTCGCGATTTAGAAAAGATTTAGATAAATTTTTCAGCCCTGCTCTAACAGGAGGGAAAACTGCATTTATTGGGCACTACTTTCAGCGGCAGATGAATCCACATGTGGCGCTCTAGTGAGTATTTGGGGCAGCAGGATGGTGTATGTGAGACTGAGTCAGAATAAACTACAATGTGTGTGTTCGTGGTGATGAAGGAACAACAGGCAGTGCTGCAGTGAGAATCACTGATGTGCTGTTAATAGTTCTGGGACAATAATGGATCTATCAGGCTTTGGATGTACAGATTATTGGTAGGATCAATTCATTGTTGGTTTTGATCTTTTCATGGGATTTGTTGACAATAAGAAAAATATATAATGTCACCAGACTTATCCTTCTAACAAAAATATCTTTACCTTGTAGAAGCATGTAAGAACAAGCTGAACAAAGACAATCAAATTGCCTTTTAAGACAATAATGCAAAGCATGCAAAACGCGCGCTGTATTTGATTAAACTGATTGTGTATGCTGAAGTCATTTCAGGGACACATTTTGACATCAGAACAATGCACGTACTGACGGCGCAGGCCACCTTTGACTGGGCACGTACTTAATCAGCGTCAGAATAAAGACCTACTGTTTAAGTCTGCCTGGCTCAGGTTCCTCTGCAGGGCCTCCATCTGCCGCAGCACTATCTCCAGTTTCCCTCCCAGCAGGGCTTCCTATTCATTATTCACAGTGTCAAGTTCCCTTTCTGACACCCCACAAACACTCCAGAGCTCAGACGCAAAAAACTGGCTAAAGCAGCAGATTTGCACACCTGACACATCGTCCTCACACGTACCGTCCCTCACTTTCAGTACTTCACACATGTGTGCAGGTTTAATATGACATTTTCTCCACAACTACCACAAAACGATGACGTCACTGACCATGGAAGTAACTCTTGACCTTGAGGTATCCCACACTGAGCCGGAGCACAGACAGTTTGTCCAGACGACCTCTGACCTCCTCTGAGAAAGGCAGCAGGCTGGTCAGATGGTCCAGCTCTGTATTCAGGCGGTCCCGGTGGCGTTTGGATGGATTGGTCTTCCCAGTCGGAGGCTTCTCACTGAAACGACACACAAGACAAGAGGATGAGTGATGCTGCTCGCTAAAACATGTTTGCTCCGCTTGACAATCGAACAGTGGAATTTCCATCTTGAATTAGAAGTGGGAGTTTTTGGTACGAGTTAAATTTTGCATATCCTGTAACAAGCAGTACATCTGAACGTCTGCAGGCGTGGATGTAGGAAGACTTGTGTGTCATATTGACACAGTTCCGGTTCATGAAGACAATAACGTCTTTCAGTTGCTGCCCAGATAAACTCTGACCCACATCAAACGAAGCATCAATTTCCTGGTTTTTAAGAGCCAGCAGGGGCTGAAGGTGTGGTTCATACTTTCATTATTACAAGACACACGGAGATAAATGTTTTGTTAGTGCATTCACTCTGTTAGTCTTGTTAGCTTAGGATAAATACCGGTATATTAGAATTACTGAGAATTCGTTATTGAAATGGCCTAAGTGAGTATATCTGTATAAGCAGCTTGGACTGTTTTAGAGCTGCAACGATTAATCGATTAGTCAATTTCGGTCCTTTCCAAGTTCTCAAATGTAAGAAAAATCTGCTTTCCATCATTTTACATATTGATTATTTGGAGGTTTGGGACTGTTAGTGGGACAAAACAAGACATTAAATAAGTTCACGCTGGGCTATAGGATACTGTGAGGAGCAGTTTTCGCTGTTTTCTAAGTTTAATATCGTCCAAACGAATTAATCTATTAACAGTCACAGCCACTTTTTTAAGCATGAGTACTTTTAAGTTTGCTCCTTCAAGTTGTTGACAGTACTAGTACTTTTACTTGTAATGGTGTACTATAAGATTGTTGGATTGGTTATTTTAGTTAAGTAAAGTAGTGGTTATCAAACTTTTTTACATCACTGACACAAATAAGACCACGGACACCCATTTAATAAGATTTTGTCCCAAGTCCCCCCATCTGATTGGATTTTTGCTTTTAGATGTTCTATTACAGAAAGTGTATAAAACCCAAGACTCACACTCACTGTGTTTCTTATACATGGAATTATAATGAAAGGATATGAATCCCCTTTTATTCTGTGGTCGATCGACACACTGACTGACATCCGTACAGTCATGCAGCTGGCGAGGCTAAAACACAGAAAGTTACATCATAATTTTGAGACAGCAAGTGTTTGTTGATATTCTACTTGGCCTGTGGCATTTTTACCGAAAATTACCACAACATACATCCACGACAACATGTCCGGGCATGCAGCAGCTCTGTGTGTCACAGCTCCCTGACAAAACACAGAGATGGAAGAGAAGAGATGGAGGGACCAGGAGGGAGAACCAAACAGTCAGGAATGAGGACATAAAACACAGCAAGAGAGAGAAAAATATCAAATAAATGGTGAAGAAGCAACTAGACAAGATGTATATTATCTTACAATGACACCCCTGTCGGCTGCTGATGAATAAAATGGTAGGAAAACCACTCAGCAACACAATATTTGACCCACGATTTATTAATTTTTTAAACTCTGGTTGTGACAAATATAGCTAAAGACTATATTTGGGAAATAATACCAGTTAAACACATATAGGGATTAAGTAAATAAAGCCAGTGGTACCATAACAAATTATCACATATCCACTGGACATCAGATGAAGTAAAGTGATGATTAATGATTCTTTAGCTCATCCTGCAGAATCATCCAGGCGGGTTTTCAGTGGTGGAAAGTACATGTACAAAGTACAATTTTGAGGTACTTTCAATTTCATGCAACTTTACAATAATCTATACTAGATTTTACACCACTACATCTATTTAATAACATTAGTTACTACTTAAGTATGATGTATTATTATTGGTTAAGCTATCCAGCAATATATAAAGTAATCAAATCTCCACTCTCTCTTTAACAGTAATATATAGCCTACCTACTGCATAATATGTATTTTTTTACTTTTGGAACTTTATTTTGATCCTAATTCTTTTGCATTTTTAAATGCATTACTACGACTTTTACTAGTAAAAGTATCTCTACTACTTGTAGAAATCACAATAATTGCACAGTGGCCTAATGATTAGTGAGTGATCCATTGACAGTGACCAGCATGAACCCGGTGCACAGAGTTGAGCTGCATCAGCCCAGCAGCCCTCACATAAACACATAAACAAGTGTAACCAAAAACGTTTTTAAACATTAAAACCTACATGTTCGCAGCGGGTTTCTTCCTCTTCCTCGCCGCGTATACTCCGTCATTCCCCGGCATGGCGGCGCCAAGGTTTCAGCCAACTTTCACTTCAAATAATAAATAAACACTCAACGAGTTCAAACTTTGCTTAACAAGTTGTCATTTTGAACCTGTAAAGCCTCCATGTTATGTCGACCCAGGAAAGAAATAATCCACATGTCTGAAGTCTGTCCAGGAGGTCTGAAGCTTGCGTAACAGACTTAAAGAAGCAGCACACACGCCGCACCCAGCCCTCCGTCTGCAGCCAATCCGGTCCACTGTGACATCCTGACATCTCTGTCTCACCGTTTGTTATTGGTGTAATTAAGCTTTGTTTTTTCCTTGTCTCAGCTGTACACACACTGTACATGTAAATACATAACCTGCCTATGTTTTTATTGGAGGTTTTTCAGACAGGTTAAAGACAGGTAAATTTTATATATAAGTAGTTATTTGAAAGTAAAACCTAAGTTTTGTGTATTTTATAATGAGTTTCTTTCCGGCAAATGATTAGAAAAAACAATATTATTATAATTATTAAGCGCTTAATATCTTAGAAGCGAAAATGCATATAATAGAAGAATATGATATACAAAAAGAGCCTTTGTCTTTTTGTGTGACAAATTGCACAAGTCACACATGTTGACACTATAAGAACCACAGTGCAAAATCTATACATTCAAACATGTCAGACAAAAAGATTTTTTAAGAAATTAAAATATTAATATGAATGAATAGCCTAAATAATTAAAAGAAAAAACTCACTGCTTTGTTGTCCTGCCACCTTAAAATGTTGTGTCGCCATCTAGTGGCAGCGAGAGTAACTTGCAGGGATGGAAAATGGTGCATTCATGTGGTGTTTTTGTTCTAAGATGCCGACATCATAAAAGTCAAACAGCACATCTTTGTACAGCAATGAAAAATGGACAGACATGGTACAGCAGATGTATTGAGGTCTTTCCAAGTAATTGTAATAAGTAATTGTAGACCTGCAGGACCAGCTCCAAAATAAGTGTATGGTTGTTTCACCATCATGTCCACAGAAAGAAAGTACATTTCTTATTACATTTACTTTGCAAAAAAAATGTTTTGCTGGATAACACCGATTGAGAAGTTTGAAACAGACATCTCGAGGTTTGTTTGAGATCAAATATCTTAACGGTATCTAAGGTAAGTGGTAAATTTTGGTACACGAGCTGCTGAGTTGTTGACATCATAGGCTATACACAGAAACATGGCGGAGAACATGGTAACATTAGATGGGAAAATAACTTTTTCAATATGCTGCAAAAGTTCGTAGCCTCTTGCAATGCAAGACTTGCATATAAATGTTTTTGCTAACATGTCATTTGTAATATTGTATTAGGTTATAACAGTTAGTTTGCTGTCAATTGTACAGTGAATTGGATTAATAAGAAAAGTTATTTATTAGCAGTATTTGCAGTACAAGCAATATTTAGTATTATTATGGTTTCAGGTAATGTAGCTACTGGTGCAGTAACAATTCTGGGACAAAAATGAATTCGTAATAGAAAGCTTCAAACTGTGTTTTATTTATATAGGCTCTACAAAAAGAAAAAAACTGAATTATTAAATAAATATGTTTATTAAAATAAACAATAATGTTATAATTCTACATTGTCATCCAGCATACTTGGATTACAATTACAATCCTGCATCCTTTTAATAGCGTCCATGTTGTTTTCACGTTAAAACTTAAAATCACATCGGGAGGAGAGACTCGGGAAACGGGAGCACCCGAGGAGCACCTGAATGCACCATGAAGATGAGATTCAGCAAACATGTCTGGAGCCCAGATGTTCAGAGATGTTGTGAACCAGAGACTAACTGCTGCTGCTGAAGAAATATTGCACTGTTTGAAAGGAGGATAGCAGAGTACGAGGAGGAACTCCTCCATATTCTTTGTCTTTATAATTGTTATCTTTATAATAACATAATATAATAAATAATTGTAGACTATATAGCCTAGTGTTTATCTTTAGTTTATTTATTTTATATGTTACCATATTAGAATACATTTAATTATCCCATCTGTTAATATCTGAGTGCGTGAAGCCTGAAGGGACTACACACTTTCTTTACCTTATACAACCTTGTGTTGTAGCCTATTGGCCTAGTAATATTTACCTTGATACCCTGATATGTACAATAATTACAGTGAAGCAGTAAATGTCAATGAATCTCTTAGTTCTCTGCTCCCTCCAACAATTCTCATACAAAATGTATGAAAAGAAAATCATGTAAAAAAATTTGAATCTCAGACATGAAGACATAAAATAGTTAATTTATTTAGAAAAAATACACTGTGGTAGGCAGATGTACAGTTTTATATATATACAGTATATACATGTATATATTAGTGGTGTCAGGAAATTAGTTTTCTAAAACGTGCATGTATTTAATTTTTCTCCACAGACGTCCAGCAGCTGTTGGGGAGTAAAGAACAGGTTCCCCCTGAGCAACAGCAGCAGTGCAGCCTCAGTCAGAACCAGGAGGACCCACCAGAGCTGCTACACATTAAAGTGGAGCAGGAGGATCTCTGGACCAGTCAGGAGGGAGAGCAGCATCCAGGGCCGCAGGAGACTGAGTTCCCATTCACTCCTGTCACTGTGAAGAATGAAGAAGATGAAGAAGAGCAACCTCAGTCTTCACAGCTTCATCAGAGCGAAACTGAAGAGAACAGAGAAGCTGATGGAGAGGACTGTGGAGGACCAGAACCAAACAGGAACTTTGATCCAGAGAGTTATTTACAGCCAGCTCATCACAAGACTTCCCTCTCCTCTGAATCTGAGACTGATGGCAGTAGTGACTGGGAGGAGACCAGAGAACCTTTAAACTTTAAAGCTTTAATAGTTGAAAAACACCAGTTAGCTTCTCTGAATGTCCGACAAGCTTTGGCCACAAGGAACATCTGCAGAAACACAGTGAAACATTTTATTTGTAAAAAAGTTTTCAGTGGAGAAAAGATGTTGTAGCTCACATGACAGTTCACACAGGGAGAAACCATTTAGTCGCAGAGTAAGTTGATCTAATCACGGCTCAATAGAGCTGCAAAGTGGACTTAGTTTGTTACCAACCCTGAACTGGCAAAGTAATTGTCCTGTTCAGCTCTACCTCATCCACACTTTCATCAATTCAGTTTTATTTATATAGCGCCAATTCACAACAACAGTTATCTCACAGCGCTTTTCATAAAAGAGCAGGTCTAGAGCGTACTCTGTGATATTATTTACAGAAACCCAACAGGGCAGCACTAGGCGACAGAAGGGAGGAGTAGGGGGGAACAGCCTACATAATGTAGACACAGAAGTACAGACAGTGAAGGTAAAATCGGTACAGACCGAATGAATAATCAGGGCACCTCTACCTGTATTATTAGTGAGCTCCACCCTTTAATATCCTCTCACACTCTTGTATCTTTCTTTTTTACTGTCTGAATATTTTCACTTCACAGAAACAGAACGCCAAAAATCAGGCAGAACCTCATGATGAGGGTGAGGAGAGTTTCATTGTTGGAGGACAAGTGGGTTCACATCAGTATGGCGACACTGTGGAGAAACCTCACCACTGTGACCAGTGTGGCAAGAGCTTCCCTTTCCCATCCCATTTAAAGAGACATCAGCGGACTCACACTGGAGAAAAGCCTCACCACTGTGACCAGTGTGGGGAGAGTTTCCCTCAAAGAGGCAATTTAAAGAAACATCAGCAGACTCACTCTTTCAAAGCGTTCACCTGAACTGTCTTGATCTCTTGGCTGTTAAAAGATGACATGTGATTTGTAAAAGCTGTCATGAAAGTATTTTAACATTGATACACCCGCAACTTCAGCTGTCAAATGTTATCGTTGCTTTACTTCCTCTGTCAATGCTACTGCAGCAAAGATGCAACAGTAACACAAACACAAGTACAAACTTACTGAAGAGCAAGACAGGATTGGGGCTTGTATTTTGTAGTCATGAACATGCTAATGCAGCAGCGAACGTGCAGCCAAAGTTAAAAACCTACTTGCCTTGTTGTTTCTCTGTGGGCTGAGGTCCAACTGCAACTTCACCTAACATTATATGGAGCTGAATCTGCAGCATGTCTCCTTGTTTAGTGTTTGTCTGCGAGTACAGACAAATACATACATACATTATTCACTCAGATTTAACCCAGCTTCGTATTATTTGAGTGAGTTTATATACACATTGGCTGAACACTTTTCTTTTGCACACAGTAACCTACAGCTGCAGGACACAGTAGTCATGAAACATGTTCTACAGTTTAGTGAAATAATCTTTGCAGATGCACTTTCAACAGTTTGTGTGTTATCTGATACTGTTTTGCAGTTGAAATTAAAACCAGTGTTTAAACCCTGTCAGAGGTCACTAAGGTTTAAAATACCACAGTGAGGTTAAGGTGCCAGAAAGACAACAAAATCTGACTTAACATGAGTAACTCTCCATATTCAGTCACACTGCAGAAAATTTACTAACCAGAGTAATTGTTCCTTATATACACTGATGGAAAACCACAAACAAACAAACACAAAGAAGCCCCAGAGTGCAATGCTGTCTGCAAGAAATTACATTTATATAAGACTAATTGGTTTTGCCTAATGCATTTAGAGGGAAACATAGTTGCTACCTGTAATTGGTTTAGTGGTAGCATATTTTTATGTTTTTGTATCTCACATAATGGATGGTGGGGACTGCAGGCTGGAGTTCCCGAGTCCCAGATGGTTAATAATCCCATTGGTATAACTGGTTTTGCAGGTATTTGGTCATAAAAAAGGTTAGAGGATCACCAGTTACTAAAATTCATCTTGAGGGGAATCCAATAGTTGTTGAGACATATTTCACTAAAAAAACACAAATGTCAAGATTTTGTGCAAATACACCTCATGGCTGTTGAGATTTGACCGGCACACTGCGTTGCCATCCAAGCTCTCATGGCTAAAAAAGATTGTGCATGTTCTAATCATGCAATAGTTGCTACAAGCAAGCATCCTCATTTTTCCTTGTTGTTTTGATTACTTGATATTTTGTTCAAAAACATATTTGCTGTTGCAAATGAGCAGTATATGTATGTAACTTCCAGGAGACTGCTATGTGTCATGAAAGGTTGGCAGATCTGACTGCAGGACGAAAGTGTTTTTTAGAACCTTTGGGGAAAAAGACAATCTTCTCCACGATGGAGAAAGTCCCCTCATATTAGACAGAGAAGTTATTAATA